AAACCCCAGCTCTGAGGGGTTGGTGTCACCCCATTACACAAATCCCAGCTCTGAGGGTTTGGTGTCACCCCATTACACAAATCCCAGCTCTGAGGGTTTGGTGTCACCCCATTACACAAATCCCAGCTCTGAGGGTTTGGTGTCACCCCACAGCACAAATCCCAGCTCTGAGGGTTTGGTGTCACCCCATTACACAAATCCCAGCTCTGAGGGTTTGGTGTCACCCCACGCTCAGGGATCAGCCGAGCAGAACATCCAGGCCACCTTTATCCCGAGGAATCAGTGGCCCCAATTCCCAGAACCAGGAAGAATCAGCGGCTGCACAGAGGCTGCACTCACAGAGAGCTGGAAAACAAGGAGGGCAGGAGCTGCTTTTGCATAAGGTTGGGTTCAGAGTTTTGGCGTATATTATAGAAAATCATATATTCTGTGTGTTTTTGTACATTATAAAAATGTATACTTATGTTATATAATATATATATAAATATATATAATATATAATATATAATATATAATAGCCTTCCTAAATCTAGCCTAGCCATGATGATGATAATATATAATATATAATATATAATATACAATATACAATATATAATGTATAATATAAAATATATAATATATAATATACAATATATAATATACAATATATAATATGTAATATATAATATATAATATAAAATATATAATATACAATATATAATATATAATATATAATGTATAATATAAAATATATAATATATAATATACAATATATAATATGTAATATATAATATGTAATATATAATATATAATATACAATATATAATATATAATATATGATATATGATATATGATAAAATAATAGAATATATACATATATCATATAAATATATAAATATATAAATATGTATTATATAAACATATATATATATAATATATATTATATATTATATAAATATATTTACATATATTTATATACGTATACTATGTATATAATATATAATATTATATGTACTATTATAATATATACTATGTATATACAGAATATTATATACGTATATTGTATAAAAACATATTTCCCCTTTCATTTTAAACTCTCTCCCGGGTTCCTGGGGCCCTTCCCAGCTCCGTTGTGAGGAGGACGAACGCCCTCCCCAGGCAGCGCCGCGTTCTCTCAAGTCCTCCTCTGTTTCTCCTCCCCGTTTACACCCAAGGGAAGCCGCCGCTTTTCCCGATTTAGATTTTTTCTAAAAAATCCAAATCAAGGGGGAGAGGGGTGGATTGGAACACTGTTAAAAAAAAATAATCTGAATAATCTAAATAATCCAGAAGCGGTGCAAAAGCATCGCTCTTGTTCCCAGAAGGGCGGCGCGATGCCATCCGCGGGGATCCTCTGCCCTCTGCTGGAACCGAGGCCTGGAGCAGCAGCCCTTTTCCCGGGAAAAGAAGCTCCCTGTCCTGCCGCCTTCCGTCTGGGAGGAATCTCCGTCCGTGTTTAGTGTCGGGAGCAGCGCTGGGAAACTGGGCAAAAAATGGGATCTTGAAAGCAAAGAGCGGCTCTTTTAGCCGGGAAAGAAAGGCCTGAGGCTCCACGTCTCAGGTGCAGCGGGGGGGCCACCCTGGGGACTCCAAAAGCAGCGAGAGCTTTCTGTGCTGGCACCTTTGCTCTGGGAGGAATCTTCGTCTCTATGGAATTTTGGGAGTTGGACGGACAATCTCAGCGCAGGATTCCTGCAAGCGAACAACAGCATTTTATCCCATGAAAGAAAGTCTGTAAATTTTGAGTTTCAGTTGGTGCACCACTCCTGGCACTCCATGGTCAGCAAGAGCTTTCTGTGGTGGCACCTTTGGTCTGGGAGGAATCTTCGTCCGTATGGAATTTTGGGAGTGGGACAGGAGATCTCAGCGCAGCTCTCAGAAATGGAACGACTGCCCTNGGGGGGTACTGGTGTGGAGTATTGGGAACACTGGGACAGACTGGGATACACTGGTGTCGGTTACTGGGAGCACTGGGACAGACTGGGGGGCACTGGGACAGACTGGGGGGTACTGGTGTGGGGTTTTGGGAACACTGGGACAGACTGGGGGCTACTGGTGTTGGTTACTGGGAACACTGGGACCAACTGGGATACAGTGGGGCAGACTGGGGGACACTGGGACAGACTGAGGGATACTGGGAGAGACTGAGGGACGCTGGTGTCGGTTACTGGGAACACTGGGACAGACTGGGGAATACTGGGACAGATTGAGGGGCACTGGGACAAACTGGGGGGTACTGGTGTGGGGTACTGGAGACACTGGGACAGACTGGGAGGCACTGGTTTGGGGGACTGGGATACACTGGGACAGACTGGGATACACTGGTGTCGGTTACTGGGAACACTGGGACAGACTGGGGGGCACTGGGACAGACTGGGGGGCACTGGTGTCAGTTACTGGGAACACTGGGACAGACTGGGAGACGCTGGTGTCGGTTACTGGGAGCACTGGGATACACTGGGGCAGACTGGGAGACACTGGGGCAGACTGGGAGGCACTGGTGTGGGTTATTGAGGTCACTGGGCCAGACTGGGATACACTGGGACAGACTGGGATACACTGGGACAGCCATTCCCTGAATCCCGGATATTCCCCCCAGGAGCTCAGCCTGGCCCTGTACCGGCACCTCCTGGGATGGAATTCCCAGAGATTCCCCATCCCTGGGAGTGTCCAAGGCCAGGTTGGATCCCCCAGGGTAGTGGAAGGTCCCTGGTGGGATTTTCCTTGGGAATTCCATGCAGGATCAGCCCTGAGTGGTGCTGCTATCCCGTGCCATTCCCTGAATCCCAGATATTCCCCCCAGGAGCTCAGCCTGGCCCTGTACCGGCACCTCCTGGGATGGAATTCCCGGAGATTCCCCATCCCTGGGAGTGCCCAAGGCCGGGTTAGACCCCCGTGCTCTGTGGGAGATCCCTGGTGTGGTTTTCCTTGGGAATTCCATGAGTGCTATCCCGTGCCATTCCCTGAATCCCGGATATTCCCCCCAGGAGCTCAGCCTGGCCCTGTCCAGGCACCTCCTGGGATGGAATTCCCGGAGATTCCCCATCCCTGGGAGTGTCCAAGGCCGGGTTGGATCCCCCAGTGTATGGAAGGTCCCTGGTGGGATTTTCCTTGGGAATTCCATGAGTGCTATCCCGTGCCATTCCCTGAATCCCGGATGTTTCCCCCCAGGAGCTCAGCCTGGCCCTGTCCAGGCACCTCCTGGGATGGAATTCCCAGAGGATTCCCCATCCCTGGGAGTGTCCAAGGCCAGGTTGGATCCCCCCAGTGTATGGAAGGTCCCTGGTGTGGTTTTCCTTGGGAATTCCATGCAGGATCAGCCCCTCCATGAGTGTTATCCCGTGCCATTCCCTGAATCCCAGATATTTCCCCCCAGGAGCTCAGCCTGGCCCTGTACCGGCACCTCCTGGGATGGAATTCCCAGAGATTTCCCCATCCAAGGCCGGGTTGGATCCCCCTGGGATAGTGGGAGATCCCTGGTGTGGTTTTCCTTGGGAATTCCATGAGTGCTATCCCGTGCCATTCCCTGAATCCCAGATATTTCCCCCCAGGAGCTCAGCCTGGCCCAGTCCAGGCACCTCCTGGGATGGAATTCCCGGAGATTCCCCATCCCTGGGAGTGCCCAAGGCCAGGTTGGATCCCCCAGGGTAGTGGAAGGTCCCTGGTGGGATTTTCCTTGGGAATTCCATGCAGGAGCAGCCCTGAGTGGTGCTGCTATCCCGTGCCATTCCCTGAATCCCAGATATTTCCCTCCAGGAGCTCAGCCTGGCCCTGTACCGGCACCTCCTGGGGCTGCGCGAGGGCGATTCCCGCCCGGATCCGGAGGCGGCCGGGAAGCAGCTGAACCTGCTGTGCTGCGACATCGACCCGGAGCTGATCCGGAGGGCCCGGCAGAGCAGCCCCTTCCCGGAATCCGTGTCCTTCGTGCCCTTGGACATCATGGATCCCGACGCCAGGGGCCCCTTCCTGAGCTCCCACCTGGAGCGGTTCGGCCGCTCCCGCTTCGACCTCGTCTCCTGCCTCTCCGTGACCATGTGGATCCACCTCCGGCACGGCGACGGCGGCCTGCGGGAATTCCTGGCCTTCCTGGCTTCCCTGGGCTCCGTCCTGCTCCTGGAGCCCCAGCCCTGGAAGTGCTACCGGGCGGCGGCGCGGCGGCTCCGCAGGGCGGGCAGGACGGACTTCGAGCACTTCCGGAGCCTCGGGATCCGCGGGGACGTGGAGGGAGGGATCAGCCGGATCCTGACCCGGGAATGCGCCATGGAGAGCCTGGGCTGCCTCGGGAGCACCGACTGGCACAGGAGCCTCCTGCTCTTCAGGTCCAGCCGGGAAGGGGCTCCGGAGCGGCCCCTCGGGGCCGGGGAGTCGGAGGGAGAATCCAGGAATTCCTGAATCCCAACTACCTGAACTCTAGGAATTCCTGATTGCCAGCTCCTGAGGGTCATCCACAGGGACAGGAGCCTCCTGCTCTTCAGATCCAGCCGGGAAGGGGCTCCGGAGCGGCCCCTTGGATCCAGGGAGTCGGAGGGAGAATCCAGGAATTCCTGGATCCCGACTCCTGGACTTTAGGAATTCCTGATTCCCAACTCCTGAGGGTCATCCACAGGGACAGGAGCCTCCTGCTCTTCAGATCCAGCCGGGAAGGGGCTCTGGAGCAGCCCCTCGGGGCCGGGGAGTCGGAGGGAGAATCCAGGAATTCCTGATTCCCAACTCCTGAGAGTCAGCCACAGGGACAGGAGCTCCTGCTCTTTGGATCCACCAGGAATTCCTGAATCCCTGAACATCCACAGGGACAGGAGCCTCCTGCTCTTCAGATCCAGCCAGGAAGGGGCTCTGGAGCGGCCCCTCGGATCCGGGGATTTGAAGGGAAAGAAAGGCCCGAATCCTGACTCCTGAATTCCAGGAATTCCTGATTCCCAGCTCCTGAGAGTCATCCACAGGGACAGGAGCTTCTGCTCTTCAGATCCACCAGGAATTCCTGAATCCCTGAACATCCACAGGGACAGGAGCTTCCTGCTCTTTAGATCCACCCAGGGAGGAAATTCCTGAATCCCTGAACATCCACAGGGACAGGAGCTTCCTGCTCTTCAGATCCAACTGGGAAGAGGCTCTGGAATGGCCCCTGGCGTCCAGGGAGTCGGAGGGAGAATCGGGGAATTCCTGAATCCCGACTCCTGGACTTTAGGAATTCCTGATTCCGAACTACCTGAACTCTTGGAATTCCTGATTCCCAACTCCTGAGGGTCATCCACAGGGACAGGAGCCTCCTGCTCTTCAGATCCAGCCGGGAAAGGGCTCTGGAACAACCCCTTGGATCCGGGGAGTCAGAGGGAGAATCGAGGAACTCCTGAATCCCAACTACCTGAACTCTTGGAATTCCTGATTCCCAACTCCTGAGAGCCATCCACAGGGACAGGAGCCTCCTACTCTTCACATCCACCAGGAATTCCTGAATCCCTGAACATCCACAGGGACAGGAGCTCCTGCTCTTCGAATCCACCCGGGAAGGAAATTCCTGAATCCCAACTCCTGAATTCTAGGAATTCCTGAATCCCAACTCCATCCACAGGGACAGGAGCTTCCTGCTCTTCAGACCCACCCGGGAAAGGACTCTGGAACGGCCTCCCACATCCAGGGAGTCAGAGGGAAAATCAAGGAATTCCTGATTCCCAACTCCTGAACACACAAGGATCATCAAATTCAACTCCTGGCCCAGGACACCCCAAAAATCCCCCTAATCCCAAAATCCCAGTGTCCAAGCACTCCCTGACCTCTAAAATCATGGAATATCCCGAGCTGGAAGGGGACCACAGGGATCAAACCCAACTCCTGCTTTGGGATGACCCCAAAAATCCCACTGATCCCAAAATCCCGATGCCCAGGATTGTTGTCCAAACAGCCCCTGACCTCTAAAATCATGGAATGCCAGAGGGATCACAAAATCATGGAATATCCTGAGTGGGAGGGGACCCACAAGGGTCATCGAGTCCAACTCCCGGCCCAGGACAATCCCAAAATTCCCACTAATCCCAAAAATCCCAACTCCCGGGAGCTTTGTCCCTGAGCTGTGGCTTCCTGGGAGCACTTCCCTGGGGAGCTGTTCCAGTGCCTGAGCTCCCTCTGGATGAGGAGCCTGTTCCCAAAATCCACCCAGAGCTTCCCCCAGGACCTGGGTTTGGACAATCCCTCCCCTGGACTCAGCATTCCCGGGACATGGGGCTCCTCCATCCCCGGGAGTCCTTTTGGGAATGGCGCCCTTGGAGTAAAACCAACCGAGAGTTTTATCCCGAACGCTCGAATCCTGCTTTTTATTCCTGATATTTTCAGCAGCTGAGCATTCCCAGGGAACTGAGCTGGGGGTTTGTTGGACCTCCAGCATTCCCTGCTCCAGAGGGAGCCCGGGAATGTGCCGAGCCCTGTCCCAGGTGAGCTCCATTCCAGAGGAGGGAAGGGAAGGAGGCACCTCCAGGAGGAGCTCGTGTCTCGCTGTTCCCGCCCAGGAGAGCCCAGAAAAACCGGGAATTACCTTCCTTTGTCCTTCCTGGAACTTCCTTGTTTCCTCCTGCCGGGGGAGAGGAGGGGAGGGAAAAGCAAAGGGATGGAGAAGAGAAGGGAAGGATCCAGGGAGAGCTCGGAGCCACTTCCAGACCCAAAGGGGCTCCAGGAGAGCTGGAGAGGGACTGGGGACAAGGGATGGAGGGACAGACACAGGGAATGGCTTCCCACCGGGAAAGGGGGGATTTAGGGGGGATATTGGGAAGGAATTCCTGGCTGGGAGGGTGGGGAGGCCCTGGGATGGAATTCCCAGAGAAACTGTGGCTGCCCCTGGATCCCTGAGAGTGTCCAAGGCCAGGTTGGATCCCCCTGGGATGGTGGGAGGTGTCCCTGCCCATGGAAAGGTGGGATGGGATGGGATTTAATGTCCCTTCCCACCCAACCATTCCATGATTCCATGGTTTTCCCTCTATTATTCCAGGTTTGAGCAGCTTTCCCTGTATTCCCACCTGTTTATTTCCATGGGATCATGGAACAGTTTGGGTTGGAAGTGACTCTTTAAAGGTTGTTTTCCTTCCCTGGGGGCTCCGAGAGCTGGGGAGGGACTTTGGACAAGGAGGGATGGGACAAGGGGGAATGGCTTCCCACTGGAAAAGGGAGATTGAGATGGGATTTGGGGAAGGAATTCCTGGCTGGGAGGGTGGGGAGGCCCTGGAATGGATTTCCCAGAGGATTTCCCATCCCTGGAAGTGTCCAAGGCCAGGTTGGAGCAGCCTGGGATGGCGGGAGGTGCCCCTGCCCAGGGCAGGGATGGAATGGGATGAGCTTTAAGGTCCCTTCCCACCCAACCCATTCCATGAATCCATGTGTTCAGGGGCACTGAGAAAGGAAAACTCGGAGATCCTTCCCATAAAAGCAGCTCCCAGAGCCGGTTAATCCCTGTGGGAACGGAGCCCCTCCCCTGCCATCCCAGTGATCCCTCGGGAAGATCCCTCGGGAAGCTCCGCCGGCTCCAGGCGTGGCTCATCCCACTTTTCCTCCCTTTTCCCGCTGCTCGGCCGCTCTTCCCCACCCGGTGGCGCTGGAGCCTCGTGGAATCCGCGCCCTTGGAATGTTCCTCCTGCCCTGGGTCAATATTTGGGGCCGTTTCCTTTGGAATCTCTCCCATCCCAACCCGCCCTTCCCGGCGCTCCCGGTTAAAGGGGGGGGGAGTTTCCCCCGTTTCGTTTTCCTCTTGGGATTTTTGTGCTTCCCTGGGACAAATCCCGGGAAGAACTGGCTGGAATGTGCAGCCCAAATTGTTGGAGGTGTCCCTGCACTTGGCTGGAATGTCTGTGGCTGGAATGAGTTTTTCCTTCAAGCAGACCCTGCTTTATGATCCTCATTTCCTGGGAATCTCCCCCAGGATCCTCCCACGGGATTCTCCTTGGCTGCTCCTCAGGGAAAAGTGTGGATTGGGGTTTGTAATTCCTGGTTTTCCAGCCTTTTCCACGCTGGTGTGGCTGTAACTGCCCCGGGGTTTCTTATCTCTCCCCCCTGGACTTTGGAATTGCTGATAACATTCCATCCCACTCCAAATTCCTCCCAAATTCCCTCGGGGTGGCTTTGGAACAGCCAAATCCTTTGGATTTTGCCACAAATCCGGCTCCAAATCCCAGTGCCAGAGGGCAGGGAGAGATGGGATATTGGGAAGGAATTCCTGGCTGGGAGGAGGGGGAGACCCTGGAATGGATTTCCCAGAGGATGCCCCTGGATCCCTGGAAGTGTCCAAGGCCAGGTTGGATCCCCCTGGGATAATGGGAGGTGTCCCTTCCTATGGAAAGGTGGGAATGGGACGATCTTTAAGGTCCCTCCAACCCAACCCATTCCAGGATTCCACGAGCTGAAGGCAGCTCCTGTCCCGTCCTGTTCCAATCCAGGAATGTTTGGCTCCCAGGGGGGATCCAAAGGTTTGACTTTTCCCTTCCTTTCCTCCCTTCCTGTTGCTTCTGGAACTGGACGTGGCTTGGCCACGGACCCTCAGGTTTCACTTCCAGCTGGGAATGGTCTCCTGGAGTCTCCAAGGCTTCGTTTCAGTCTCTCTGGACGCGCTGGAGAAGCCGAGGGATGGATAAATCCCACGTGGAAGCTTCTCCAGCCCTTGGGCCCCTCCAGCCCTCGGCATTTCCTTGCAGATGCTCCAGTTTTCCCCCTGGATTCCCCTGGGCAGGTTTGTTTTCCCCCTTGGCACGAAAATCCCATTATGGACATAATCTTTCCCCTCATTTCCTATCAAGTTCCTTGGAGTTAATTAATTCCTTATTGACTTGCCCGGAGTTCATTAATTTGGAGTTCCCTGGTTCCCTCAGGTCTGGGCTCCGGAGGGTCTGGAGAAAGCTGGGAATGAACACCCAGGCTGGGGATCAGCTCACAGGGAATATAAACCCCAGCCCTTACCTGCTCTGCCCAGACAATCCCGGCTCAGCCAGGTCCATAAAATGTTCCTTACCAGCTCCCTGGAATTTTATCCTGATGTGGAACGAGGCCGCTCCTTCCTCGGACCCTCCCCGGAGCGGGTTTTACTGGGAATGAGAAGGTTTTCCCAGTTCAGAGCTGCCTGAACTCCTTCCCTGCAGTCCAGGGAGGGAAGGGAGGAGGGATCCCATCCAGGGTTCCTTTGGAGAAGGGGTTAAACCCCCTCCATCCAAGTGGGATGTGGTGGGAATAAAAGATCCCACCTGGCCCTGCAGACCTGCTCCATTCCTGGGCTGGAATCCTCCAGGATTCCATGAGAATTCATCCTGGATGAGCGGTGGTTTGGAATTCCTGTGTTTTCCATGTGAGGGACAGGGATCTCTTGGATCTGAGGCCTGTTTTCCATGTGAGGGACAGGGATTGTTGGATCTGGGACCTGTTTTCCATGTAAAGAACAGGGATTTGCTGGATCTTTTCCATGTAAAAAAACAGGGATTTGTTGGATCTTTTCCATGTGAGGAACAGGGATTGCTGGATCATTTCCATGTGAGGAACAGGGATTTTTTGGATCTGGAGCCTGTTTTCCATGTAAAGAACAGGGATTGTTGGATCTGGGACCTGTTTTCCATGTGAGGAACGGGAATTTGCTGGATATGAGGCCTGTTTTCCATGTAAAGAACAGGGATTTGTTGGATCTGAGGCCTGTTTTCCATGTAAGGAACAGGGATTTGTTGGATCTGAGGCCTGTTTTCCATGTAAAGAACAGGGATTTGCTGGATCTGAGGCCTGTTTTCCATATAAAGAACAGGGATTGTTGGATCTGAGGCCTGTTTTCCATGTGAGGGACAGGGATTTTCTGGATCTGAAGCCTGTTTTCCATGTGAGAAACAGGGATTTGCTGGATCTGAGGCTTGTTTTCCATGTAAAAACCAGGGATTTGCTGGATCTTTTCCGTGTAAAGAGCGGGGACTGTTGGATCTGAGGCCCGGGAGGGTCCCCCCGCTGTCCTTGCTGCCCCTGCTCCGCTCTTTCCTGGGGTCAGTCCCAGCCTGTGGAAGCTGCTGAGCTGCAGTTTGTTCCCGAATCCCGGAGCGTTCCTGCCCCAACAGGCCCGGGATGACACATCAAAGGCGCTCCCGGGGCTCCTCCCGAGGGATCAAAGGGAGGGAACAGGGGAGGGAACGGGCGGCTCCGGCTCCGGGGCCTTTCATCTCCATTCCCCCTGGAACATCCCGGTCCAAGCACTCCCAGCCTGATCCCACAATTCCAGAGCCCCTCTGCTCTGGAGCCGGGCTGGGAGAGCTGGGAATGTTCCCCTGGAGAAGGGAAGGATCCAGGGAGAGCTTGGAGCCCCTTCCAGGGCCTGAAGGGGCTCCAGGAGAGCTGGAGAGGGACTGGGGACAAGGGCTGGAGGGACAGACACAGGGAATGGCTTCCCACTGGGAAAGGGGGGATTCAGGGGGGATTTGGGAAGGAATTCCTGGCTGGGAGGGTGGGGAGGCCCTGGAATGGATTTCCCAGAGAATCTGTGGCTGTCCCTGGATCCCTGGGAGTGTCCAAGGCCAGGCTGGATCCCCCGGGATGGTGGGAGGTGTCCCTGCCCATGGAAAGGTGGAATAGGATGGGGTTTAATGCCCCTTCCCACCCAACCCATTCCAGGATTCTGTGGGGAATGGTGGGAAAAACTCCCCTGGGAAGCGGCTGCTGGGAGGGAAGGGATCCCTGGGGGGCATTTTGGGGCAGAATTCCTGGTGAGATCCTTTCTTGGGTGAGGAAAGACAAGAGGTCAAAAGTTTCATGGAAAAAGCTCCTTGAATCCAGCCAGTCCTTGTGTCCCCTCAGAGCAGGGAATCCTGGAATTGTTCAGCTTGGAAAACACCTTCAAGGTCTTCAAGTCCAACCACCAACCCCTGTGGTCACCACATGTCCCCAGGTGCCACATCCCTGTGTTTTGGGGACAATTCCAGGGATGGGGATTCCACCCCTGCCCTGGGCAGCTGGGCCAGGCCTGGAAAACCCTTTCCATGGAGGAATTTTCCCATGTCTTTATTAATCTGGACGTCCAGAACTCTGGAACATCCCACCCAGGGGTGCAGGGAAGGGGATGGGCTGTCCCAGGACCACCCAGGAGAACATCCACCCCCTTTCTCCATGGCACTTCCATGGAAAGAAGGGAATTATCAGGGATTTGGGAGTTGTGAGGGGATTTTCAGGGATGTGGGGTGGCTTTTTTTCCGGGGAATGATTTGCTGGGGTCACCAGGATCTGTGGCTGGATGTTCCCAGCTGGTTCCTGGTGTTCCTGTGGATAATTAGGGCAGATCCCAAAGGATTTATTT